CTATCTTGAAGTGCAAGCTAGACGACCCGAAGATGCAATGTGTGATAGCAACGAATGGAACCGATGACGGTGAAGACTTCGTACGTGAATGTCGAAAGATGCAGCCATCGGTACCAATTATTGTCTATTGCATGAATGTTAGTTATCATCGAGAGTGGGCGGCAGCGATCAGTAGTGGTAGTACGTCGCAAATCCAAGCCACCGGTAGTGATGTGTTTCAATTTATCAGTAACATATTCAGTGATGAAACGAAACCCAAAAGTTTGTCATACAGTTCCGTTGATAAAAACGCAAAGGTAGATGATTCCTCGTTAAGTACACTGGAGTCTCTGACCTCATCGAATTTGGATCATGTGATAACTCAAAAAGAAAGTTGGATAGCCACATTAAAGATTTGGACTGATTCACAGGCAAATTCGATTGCATCAATGAGAAAAGAAATTGAAATGAAACTAGTAGAGATAAAATCGCAAGTTAAAGAACTAGCAGAATTGAGAAAAATGGAAAACAAATTAGCAGAAAGTGCCGAAAATACAGAACCAATAATACAGATGCAGAAACAACCGAAGATTCAAAAACAAAATGAACGAATCACTTTTTTGCAAAAGAGAATCGAAGATCAAAAAGCACAAATTGAAGTTTGGTTTAAAATTCTCCAACAGATACAACAAGTATCAATACATAAACCAATTAACGCCTTCGATACTGCGCCATGTGACTTACAACAGAGATTACGAAATCCACCTGAAGGTATACGGACTATTCGCATCATCAGATTCACCATCAAACAACGTACCGGAAATAGAACCCGGAAGTCCAGCACTAATTAACTTTCCTCAAACCAGTGACAGTTCAGTTAGACCAGGACAACCTCTTCTATCTGCAACAGAAGGTCCAAGTCGGAACGTCACGTTTGCAGTAATAGGACAGCAGAGAGGACAGGGTGTTATTGAGCCCGTTGTTCCTAGTCCGTTTGATATTAGTAGCTACGGTATATATCAAGTGACCATTTTCGATGACACACTCCAGAAGCAGTTAATCTCAACTCGCATTACGGTCCTACCAGAACTGAAAATATGCGTACCAAAAAAATTTGTTATAAAAGATTCATTGAACAATATCGTGGTTGGAGGAAGGATCACATTGAAAAGAAGCAACGGCACAATTACTTTTACCGGTATCACAGATAGCACAGGTAATGCTCATATCAGATGAGGACATGAAGTAGGTGTTTACTACTAGCAGATCAGTAGAAAGGTTCTTCAGAGCTTATCTCCTACTGCATGAGTAAAATCTGTAGTTTCTATCCCTGTGTATAACGACCATTGTTAGGATGACAACAGCATTTGGTCAGCTTTCGTCATTGCCTTCTTTCGAAAAGTGGGGCATCTCATAGCATGTCTGCTGATTTTTCAAAAGTGTCGAATATCGAGCGTTGAGCAGTCATAAACTTCGCTGCTTGCGAAAAGCAACACAGCCATTCGCAAGCCTCATGCTATGTAGATTACCATATGCCAGGTAGCCTTCGCCGAATCAAATCACTCAGTCTACTCTCCAGACAACGCACTGACTGCCCACTACATGTTCTCCCATTTGGAGAAATTCCCTTCTAGCAAGAGTTTTGACTCCAATGATGTAGCGTTAGTGACTGTTGAGAACAAGTTGAAAGACCTTTATTCATAGTTTTATAATAATTTCCAGCATGTAGACGCTAATGAAAGTAAGTACACTCAACAAACTCGGTTCCATAAGCTTGCAAGGCAACCTGTT